TCATTAATTTAATGGAAAAATGCTTTATCACTTGAAGAAAACTGTTGGAAGGTGACTGAAAGAGAAGGATAGAAGGGAGGGAGGGAGGGAGAGGTGTGTAGTCACATTCTTTGGAAGCAACTGGGTTAAAATTCCATTTGAAGCCCTCCGTTCTAAAGAAGCCTATAATTAGAAAACAAGACGAGGTGTTTTTGAACCTCATAAGGTGATAGTTTCTGTATCAGAAAACATTTCCCCATGAAACAATGTTATATCACTAGCCTATCTAATATAACAATAATCAGAACTACCCTTTAACCTTGAATGTCTCCAGAGTTAGAAACACCAGCCTCCCAGAAGTCAAAAATTTGCACATAAAACTCAACTACTTATAGCCTACCCTTGACTGGAAGCTTTATTGATACTATAAATAGTCAATTAACACATATTTTGTGTGTTATATGTATTATATAATCTTAAAGTAAGCTAGAGAAGAGAAAACGTTATTAGGAAAAATACATTTACAGTACCGTATTGTATATCATAAGTTCACGTAGTCTGTTTATAAGATGAATTGACTGAAATGGCAGCAGGACCTCAGCCTGTGGTTACATATCAAGCAATTCTACTTTTTCTTGTAATGTCATGACTTTTTTCCTGCTTCTTAGGAGCCCTTCCAGCATCACTAGTGGTACTTCTTATGGGTCCCATGGTGTTATTCAAGGTTTAGGATATTGCACTAAATACAATGAAAAATAATGTGAGAACCATGAGAGATCACATTTTACTGTGATAACCCAATTTACTGGAGAGAGGAACTGCTCATGTAGAGATGATAAGTGTCATCACAGGGTGTTTTAAGGGAATACACTCAACACTTGAGCTCAATATAAAAGCAACACAAGTTGGTTACAAAATTACTATAGTAGAACAGTATATACTACAGTTAATTTTATGCAGTTATCATTTAATATTGCACCTTTATGTTTGTTACATTTCTCCGGACTGCATATGGCAGTATGTAAGGTCTGTTTATGTGCATTAATTTTCATAAATGTTAACTTTTAATAATATATTTGTGTGTATTTTATGGTTGTAAATGATAAAAATAGACTAGTATTTTATACATTCATGCCATCCTAGCTTTTTCTTAATTTTTCAATATTTCCAAGCTATGTGGTTTGTCTGCAAGTTTTTTGAAATTGTTACAAATCTTGAAAACAAAATTTCCAAAATATTTTTTTGAAAAAAATTTATGTGTGAGTGGACCCACACAGTTCAAACCCATGTTGTTCAAGGGTCAACTTGAACAACATGAGTCTTTCTATTTTGATAAGACTATTGTGAAACTTACATTCATTTCTCATGGGAGTGTAAATGATTCAGTATTTCAGGAAGGCAGTTTGACAGGTAGCAAAGCCTTGGAAAGGTTTGTATTCTTTGACCTTGTGATTTCTTGTAGGACTGTATTTTAAAGAAATAATCAAAAATGTCAGGAAAGGTGCAAGGATATTCATTATTTGTAGTACAGCATTACTTACAATAGGATAATAAATCAGCCTTTTGTGTAAAGGCCTATAATTGAGTTTGAATTCTATGTCAAATGGCTCCTTTGAGTGGTATGATAAGTTTAATTTGATAGACACTTTGATTATAGCATTAATATAAATTTTGTAATTGTAGTAATTGGTTAAAAATAGATTCAGTTATTTAGGGATTTAATGTTAGGAATTTTATCATAAAATATGGCATCTTTATATAGTTGTGTTTGTATGCTGTGACTTTAGGAAGAACAGAAATGTTTCTAGCAGTTTGATGCATTCAATATCATTGTCATAATACCATTGTTGTGTGGATATAATTTTTACTGCTAAATGCTTTCCTTTTTTTACAGTGAAATAATATAAAATGATCATATAGCTAGGCTAATTGAATATCCAGAAGTTTTTATTTTTGCTGTAAAATTGCTTTTATCATTTCATTATTTTCTGTCAGAAATTTTAAGTTTGAAAGATATGATCTAATTTTAGGATTTAAAAAAGGCAGTTTTTCTCTCCAGAGTGTTTACTGCTTACCTACTATGTGGAAATAATTGTTGTCTCCCCCCGCCACCCGTATTCCCTGTCAGAATTGCTGGAGGCAGACACCTGGAATCTTAGTACTTCTGCAGACTTCATTTTTAGCTTACATCACGAGTCTAGTTCTTGACGAAGTCCTGTCTGCCTCCAGAATATCTTGAATCTATCATTTTTTTTCAATGATAATGCCCTAGTTGAGGGAACATTAGCTTTTTCTGACAGTGTCCTAGTTGAGGGAACATCACCTTTTTCTTGAAAGACCATAGTATCATCTTAACTATTTCCTCAATCTTCCCCTGACTCAATTTATTCCTTTTGTTTGTTTGTTTGTTTGTTTGGTTTTGGTTTCTATTTTAAGATCTTATTGAAGATATGCATGTACCATGTTTAAGAAGTCAAATATTTCCATAAGAGAACAAAATGTAGCAGAACTGTAACTCAGTTATTCTCATCTTTCCAACCTCCATCCTGGAGCCTCATTCCCACCCAGATCTCTTAGCCGTTTCTCCTTAGAGGAATTTATGTCTGTTTTTCAAATAATATGTCTAAATTCTTATTTTTCCTTGATATTTCTGTTTCAAATATGATATGTTGACTCTTTACTATAGAAGATGATTTCATTCTCTTATATTCTCCTCCCCATTTACACAATTCACTTCTCCTTTTGCACATACAGTTATGTCACAGTTTTTACTAAGTTAACTATATTCTTTACAGTTGAACTGTGATTATTTACTTGTTTGTTTTTTTTCTTTTTTGTGCTAAAATGTGCTTTAGTTTTCTTTGTATCTATCAGTAATTTTCTGCCAGAAATGAATGTACTGATTGTCTCTTTTTTTTTTTTTTTTTTTTTTTTTCAGAGAGAGATGTCTGTTGGAATTTCTGCCCTGTTGCTCCTTTCTTGACTCTTGTTCTTAAAGTCTGCTCATAGGTTTGCCCCAGGATCTCCCATTGCTGTTAATCAGAGGATTCCCAATATTTTTCTTTCTGTATTGCCTCCTTAGTTTCCTGGGCCTCATATCTTCCGTTTTCTTTGTTTGCTAGTTTGTTTTGATAGAACACATACTCTACTAATTCTCTGAGAGTAGGTATATAGAAGGCAAATTCTCTGAGATGTTCATGTTTGAAAATGTCTATAGTCTACTTTCAGACTTAATTGATATTCATGTTGGATATAGGATTCTAGAAAATTGAATTCTTCAAATTTGAAGACATCACTTCAGTTGTCTTTTAACTTCCAGTGCTGCTGTTAAGATATCTGATAGCTTCTGATCCCTGTTTTTCTGTATATGATCTGTTTTTTTTTTGTTTTTGAATCTCTGATCAGTTTTCTCTGTTCCCTCTTAAAATTCCTGTTATTCAGATGTTGACCCTTAGGGTATTCAAATTAGCATAAAAACATTTTATTCCTATCATTAACTTTTTGTTTACAAGTTTTAGTCACTGTGGCTCACAACTCTTCTATTGACTTTCAGATTTGTCTATTTTTTATTTCTAAAAGCTCTGTTTTTTTCTCTGAATATTTCTTTTTATATATCCTCCTGTTTTTTGCTCAATGGGTACAATGTCTTTTCTCATGTATTGAAAAATAATAATTATATGGTTTTGTCTTCTTCTTTTCTCAGTTTTCTTCATTCCCTGCCCTAACTCAGCTTCTTCTGTTCTCTGCCCTAACTCTGCTTCCTCAGAGTTCTTTTTCTTATTTCTTGTGGTTTCTGTCTCTCCGTGGCTATTTTTGTATTATAGAAGTTTGTTAACCTATTTTGGACCTTGGACCCATGTGGCAGACTGAAGCCTATGGAACTCTAGCCCTTCTTTAAAATAAAAGGAATTCAGTTCTGTTAAAATATACTTATCAAAATATTTTTAAAAGCTGTTATACAGCAATACATGTGCTTCTTTGTTAATGCATTAATATTTAAGAGGTCAGCCTTAAATATTCCCATATCTGGGTGTGATGACCCACGCCTGGAATCCCAGCATTTTAAGAGGCTGAGGCAGGAGGATTGCTTCAGCGTAGGAGTTCAAGACCAGTTTGGCCAACATAGTGAGACCCTGTCTCTGCAAAAAATAAAAACAAAAATAGCCAAGTGTGGTGGTGCACACCTGTAGTCCCAACTACTTGGAAGGCTGAGGTGGAATAATTGCTTAAGCCAGGGAGGTCATAGCTGCAGCAAACTGTGATCCCACCAGTATACTCCTGCCTGGGTGACAGAGGAAGCCCCTGTCCCTAAAAATATAAAGTATCTGCCATAAGTTTGAAATAGTGATGGGTATAAATGGTATCCGAATCAACTGTAATGTGATATGAAAATGTCAGTGATTTTGATTGATAACTACATCACATGTGTTGCCAATACCACTGTCATCTGTAGTGTACCTTTATAAGTAAAAGGGCTATCTTATTTCAGTTAGAGGTTAGTGTATAACGAAAGTAAATTTTTTTATATCTAAGTTCGTGGGCCCTTTGTATTTTATTGACAGGCCCTTTAGGGGGTCATGATTCCTCTTATTAAAGGTTTCTTCAAATGTCTGGGGTCACTGACTGTTGGCCCAGAGTGAGATACTGGAAAGCTGATTGGGAGGTCTGGGTGACTGAATAGAGCTTGACAACTAGTAGTCTTCACTCTGTGTTGTGGGATGTTCATCTATATCTATGGATCTTTTCCTCTTGGGATTCAAATCTTTTCAGAGAAGAATCCACCAGAATTCTGCCTATGGAATGTAAGAGTGCCTATGTTTTCATAGTCACTGTGCTCTCTCATGTCCTGCTGATCAAATTTGCTTTTGTGATTTAACTGAATGGATATAATATTACATATGTTCCCATTAAATAAAGTGATTCTAGAAAAGAACATAAACTGTCTTTAATGTTTTGAAACCCTTAATTGGGCAAGAAAACTGGGTTATTTCTTATATTTAATTTTCACCTTAATTTTCCAGGAGCTTTCAAGTTGTGGATGGAATAAAAAAGAAAAATATAGTTCTGCACCAAATGCAGTTGCCTTCACAAGAAGATTCAATCATGTGAGTTTATAAATTTTAATACTATGTCTGAAATTCAGTTCTTCACTGTATAATTTTTCCTTAAGAAATAATTTAACTTTTCACATTAGTCATGGAATATTTTCAGCCAGTATCTCTCAAGTATTATCTCTGTGCATGATCTCTGTTTTTTTCCTCTGTCATTCCTATTGAAAATTTGTTGGAAGTTGACATTCTTTCCTGCTTGTCTCTTAACCTTTCATATTTTTTTTTTTTTTTTTTTGAGACGGAGTTTCACTCATGTTACCCAGGCTGGAGTGCAATGGCGCGATCTCGGCTCACCGCAACCTCCGCCTCCTGGGTTCAGGCAATTCTCCTGCCTCAGCCTCCTGAGTAGCTGGGATTACAGGCATGCACCACCATGCCCAGCTAATTTTTTGTATTTTTAATAGAGACGGGGTTTCACCATGTTGACCAGGATGGTCTCGATCTCTTGACCTCGTGATCCACCCGCCTCGGCCTCCCAAAGTGCTGGGATTACAGGCTTGAGCCACCGCGCCCGGCCAACCTTTCATATTTTTTGTCTTTGTGCTCCATTCCGAGTGATTTCCTCAGATCTACATTTCAGTTCACTGATTTTCTTCAAATGTGTTTTATCTGTTTCAAATCTGTATGCTTTTACACCAGTCATGCTCTTTTCTTATCTTTTATTTCATTTTTAAAATTTATTAATTTTCAGCAGTTTCTATATTATTATTGGAACTTCTTGGGGTACGACTGCTTTATTTCTGTTCATTCTTAAAGTGGGTTTTTCAAAGATATGTAATGAATTTTGTATCTTTGGCTTGAAAGCTCATATCTATTTAAGCTTTATCCATGAGAATTTTGCTGCTGCCTCAATTGAGGGAGTCCATATTCTAAGAGGCTGTTTGCTTTGTCAATATCCAGGGTTGTTGCAGATCTAAGACTATTTTTTATGTTTATTGTTGTGCTTCAAGCATCTTTGTACTTCTCTGTAGTAAAAATTTAAATATCAAATCCAGTTAAAGGCAGCCTGTAGTTAACAAATTTTTATTTTTAAATTAATTTTTTTTTTTTTTTTTGGAAACAGAGCCTCTCTCTGTCACCCAGGCTGGAGTATAGTGGTGCAGTCATAGCTCACTGCATCCTCAAACTCTTGGGCTCAACCAGTCCTCCTGCCTTAGACTCTCAGGTAGCTAGGACTACAGGCATGCACCTCTATGCCAGACTAATTTAAAAAAATATATTTTGTGGAGATGAGATCTCACTATGTTGCCCAGGCTAGTCTCAAACTCCTGACCTCAAGCGATCCTCCTGCCTCAGCCTCTCAAAGCACTGTGATTATAAGCATAAGCCACCATGCCCAGTCTAAATTCTTATGAAAGAGTTTTTCTTTTTTTCTCCTTGACCACCCAGAGCCTACATTACTACGGACACACTTGCTTGTTGTCTCCCTTTTTCAAAGGAATTGAAAAATAAGTGAATTGTTTTAGTCTACCTTTTCACTGAAATTGTAGACCTTTGAGTAGCATTAGATAGAAATGGAGGAGTGAAGAGGTGTGAGGCCTTGTATTATGTCTTTGAAGTAGCATTAAATCCCAAGCCCCTATGTCACTGAGACAGGAAATCCTCCAAGGGCAGATAGAGTACCCACTCTTTAATCACTGCTTTGCTTTTAATTCCTTGTTTTTTGTCTCTAGAGGAAATCCTTTATTTTTCTTCCAATTCAGAAATACATTTTTTAAAAGTTTGTTAGATGTAACCGAGCAATTCTAGGGGCTTAAAACAAAAAATATTTTTTCATGTGAGTCCAGCAATTTTATGAAACCATGTCTTGGTGTTGGTTATCCTGGGTCAGCATTCTTAAATGTGGTTGGCTTTAACGGACTGTCATTTGGGAAGCACATACACTTAGCCTTCCAGTATGGGCGTCTCAGGGTGCCTGGATATATTACATAGTAGCTTAGGACTCTCCAAGAGAATGTTCCAGCAATCAAGGCAGGGGCTGCATGGTCTTTTATGACCTTATCCTGGAAGTCATTTTCACTTTTGCTAATGCTTTCATCATCAAAGCAGTCACAAGCCTGCCCCAATTCAGTAAGAAGTGATATACGTCCCAACTTTCGATGAGAGAGTGACAAAGAATGTGTGCTTAAAATCACCATCACATTTGTCTAAGCCAGGTCTTGTAGTGAGTCTCTATAGTTCCTGCTCCGAGAGGCTGAGACAGGAGGATCACTTGAGCCCAGGAGTTCAAGACCAGCTTGGGCAACATAATAAGATTTCATCTTAAAAAAAAAAAAAAAATCACGTTGGCCAGGTAGAGTGGCTCATGCCATAATCACAGCACTTTGAGAAGCCAAGGAGGCTGGTGGGTCACCTGAGCTCAGAAGTTCAAGACCAGCCTGGGCAACATGACAAAACCGTGTCTTGACTAAAAAAAAATACAAAAATTAGCTGGGCATGGTGGCTCATGCCTGTGATCTCAGCTACTTAGGAGACTGAAGCAGGAGAATCACTTGAGCCTGGGAGGCAGAGGTTGCAGTTAGCCGAGATTACCCCACTGCACTCCAGCCTGGACAACAGAACAAGACTCTGTCTCCATAACAAAACGAATCACCATAGTAATTGTCTTAAAATTTGCCCAACATTAAATTTAATTAAGTTGGTGAACTTGCACTTCAGATTTGAATTCATAGTTGGTGTTTGGTAAGGTTATTATTAAGATTTCCATAGCATAACTTGATTGTTTTTTTTTTTTTAGGAGTAAACCTCATTAGAATTGGGGAGGATTATTACTATTAGTAGCCCAAGTATAGCAGCAAGTACTAAGGTGACTTTGTAAAATATGTACACTTTATAGTTCCATATATATTTGTAAAATATGTGTAAAATACGTAATGACATTTGTTTACAGATGAAAATTCCAAGTAAAATCTGAAATATTTCTCATTAAAAATGTGAAGAAATATGAGGCAGTGGCATTATTTTTGCAGTGATTTCAAACTATATTCTGTAGTTAGATTTATATAAGTTTGAACCAACTTGACAGTGCATTGACTTTGTTTTCACAGTACATGAATTAAAATGTGCTAAAATGTGCATGGCATATCATATAATAAGCAAATTATTCAGAATAGAGCATTTTAATATTGTATATCTAACCTGTCTTCTAATAAATTAGTTTTAATGATTTTTTAAAAGAAATCAAGAAGATGGTTTTATTTGAAAGAATTTCAAAATTTTTGAAATGCAGTTTTAATCTTAAAATGTTAGATATATTTTTGTTTCTTTGATATTTCGTTTTGTTTACAGCAAGAAAACCCTACTTGGGAATCTTCACCTATGATCCTACTCAATGTAAATAAACAGCCATGTAGAATTACACAGCCACAGAAAAACTTGCTATAAGTAGCATCTTTTACAATGTTTAGTTTTAGAGCTTACCTAATTCTGCCAAAATGTTTTAAAATACAGCAAAACAATAACTTTTACAAATTAAAAATCATAGTGATGTTTATTTAAAATTTTTCTTTACAGGTAAGTTTTTGGGTTGTTAGAGAAATTCTTCATGCTCAAACATTAAAAATTAGAGCTGAAGTTTTGAGCCACTATATTAAAACTGCTAAGGTAAGAAAAACTTGTGTTTTTATTTTTGTGTTCAACCATTCATAAATGTTTGCAACTGAATAAATATTTGTAATGTTTTCTGTAGTGTTCATTGATACTGGAAAAATAAGGCCCATTGATTAGTATAAGTCAATTTTTAAAGTTGGATGCCCACGTTCCCTGTCTTTTCCTTTAGTCTTCCTGTTTTCCTGCTCTTTCTTTTATATCCTTCATCCCACTCTCTGAGTAGTGAATTAATGTGATCTGTTTCACTGAATAAGTAAACAAAGGTTAGATTGTGGTAAAGTATGATATTTATAAAATTTTGGACTATTCTGCAGGTGATGAAGAAAGCCATGAAGGATTAAGTAGGAGAATACTACTTCACTTCTGAAGTGAAACATGTGAAGAATAAGACTTTATTTTTAAGAGAATAGTATATGTGATGTTACCACATTATTAACTGAGCAATTATTGTGTGGCATAGATAATAAATAGAGCAAGAGAAATGGAGCATGGATTTCATAGTAATTGGAAATTAAGAGAGAGAGGTGAGACAGGCTGTTCACAAGAGGATACCAAGATTTTGTTAAAACTTGTAACAACTCTGAATTCAGCTGTAGGGGCAGAAAGGGAATGAGCCTTTCCCTCTCTATCATGAAGGCTTAGGGCCGGCAGCCCTATAACAAAAGACAGGTTAATGAGAGAAAAGCATAGCAGATTTATTACATGTGCATAGAAGTCATACAAAGTACAAACTCAAAGCAGGGCCAAATGGTTGATGCTTAAATATCCTCTTCACTGGGGAGAGGGGAGTTTTGGGGAAAGGGATGCATAGGAGCGACTTACAGGGAAAATGAATGAGGCCAGAGAACAAAGGCCTGAGACCAAGTTTCTCTGAGCTCTGGGGGAGATGGCATCACAGGTTATGGGTGGGTGAACAGAGGAAACCATGTTAAGCAAAGAAAGATACCTCAAGGAAATATCTCAGATAATCTCAGAACTACCCTCAGAAAGAATAGTTGGGGTAGCCTGTGGTTGAGTTAATAGTTAATTGTTCCTGGATCTGGACAAGGGAGAGGATACTCAAGAGAAAGCCTAGCTGTTCATTTCACCAATGTAGATTTTCTCTACAGACGCGAATCTCCTCCACAAAAGGCAGCTTTTCAGGGCTATTTCTGTCTGTAGGCCCTCTGAATAGCCATCTCAAAATATGTCAAAGAAGTATATTTTAGGATAATATATTTTTGGTTTCTTTTAATGTTAAGTTCACTAAGAAGTATGGTAATTGTAGCCACGTTCATTCATTACTCTTGTCATAAATACAAAACTTAGCTTACCTGTGAATGAAAGAAGATAGAATAAAATGAGAGTACCATGTTTACAATTATTGTAAGTCATAACTCTTCCATATTTTCCTTAAGAACGTGGGAGCAATTGTATTCTAACATTCTGTGGCACTAGGTGGCAGAGCTAGCCTTCTACAAATTTGATATTTTGCAAAAGTGTCAAAATGTTTTAAAAATTTTTTGTGGTGATGTGTTAGATATATGTATGTATTTTTTGAAATGGAGTTATACTCTGTGGCCCAGGCTGGAGTGCAATGGTGTGACCTTGGCTCACTGCAACATCTGCCTCCTGGGTTCAAGTGATTCTTACATCTCAGCTCCCCAAGTAGCTGGGACTACAGGTGCATACTACCACACCCAGCTAATTTTCATATTTTTAGTAGAGATGGGGTTTCACCATGTTGGCCAGGCTGGTCTCAAACGCCTGACCTCAGGCGATCCGCCTGCCTCGGCCTCTCAAAGTGCTGGGATTACAGGTGTGAGCCACTGTGCCTAGCCAATCCTGGTTTTTAACTAATAAAATTAATGATTCTTCTCCATGAATTCTACATTATTATTTTCTGATACTTTTAAATATGTTCCACTCAAAACCACCAAATTTTGCCCAAACCTACCACTGTCTTCATCAAGCAGTCATTTAATTTCAGTTCAGACTTTGAATTATTTTTGACAGCACTTACCTTCATACCAAGCTCTAAACCCATAATTGTTTTTTTCTTATTATTGTCTCTTAAACTCTTCTACTCTGACTCTCTTCCTACTATATTGTTTGTTATAAAACTAACAGGTCTCTTACTTGAGTATTGTATCAGTTGGCATTCTCCAGAGAGATAGAACCATAGTATTCTGTATACATGTGTATAAAGAGATCTAAATATAAAATGTATAAATAGATTTTAGGAATTGACTTATACCATTGAAGGGGGCTGGCAAGTATGAAATCTGTAGGGCAGGCCAACAGGCTGGAAACTCAGGAGCTTAGGCAGTATTCTTGAGGCAGAATTTCTTTTCCAGGAAACCCCAGTTTTCAGTATTAAGGCCTTTCAGCTGAACAGGTGAGGTCCACACATTATCAAGTGGAATCCCTTAAAGTCCACTGATTATAGATGTTAACCACATCTATAAAATATCTTCATGATAATTAGGGTTTGATTAAGTAACTGAATCAAGCTGATAGTCTAGCCAAGTTGATACGTAAAACTTACCATCACATAGATACAAAAGAATATAAGAATATTTAAAGTAGCAAAAGAATCATAATGTGGATACCCATGCATGCACCCACTTAGCACTGGGAATTTTCATATACCTCTTCGTATGCCACCTCCTTCCCTTCTACTACAGTGGGAACTACTGCCTTGAATTTTATGTTTCCTTTTCTTTTACAGCTTATGTGTTTCTGAATGATTGTTGCAAACGTATGCTTTTGGATTTTGTTTAAATTGAATTATTTCATATTTACTTTTACACTTTTATAACTAGGCATTGTTACTTAATGGTTTTAGGAGTAGCTGTGTTGTAGAGTATCCTATTTGCATATATCACAAATTATTCAATGTACTTTGGATTATTTCCAGATTTTTGCTATTATAAGCCCTGCTGCCATGAGCATTCTTGTGAGTCTCTTGGTATTTATGTGAAGATTGAAGCCCTAGAAACACAGAGTTCATACTAGCAGTAAAATTTCTGTCTCTCTCTCTCACTCTTTTTTTTTTTTTTTTTAGACAGGATCTTGTTTTGTCACTCAGGCTGAAAGCCAGGGGTGCAAACCCTAACTCACTGCACCCTCTACCTCCTGGGCCCAAGCAGTCTCTCACCTCAGCCTACTGAGTAATAGGGATTAGCCACCACCCCTGGGTAATTTCCTTTTTTTTTTTTTAAAGACAAGGCCTCACTGTGTTGCCCAGGCTGGTCTTGAACTCCTGTGCTCAAGTGATCCCCCCACATTGACCTCCCAAAGTGCTGGGATTACAAGTGTGAGCCACTATACCCGTCCCCTCATCATTTTTAACTTTGTTATAGGTAACCTCCAAACTGGTTATATTGATATACTGTCACTAGCAATTTATGAAGATGCCTGTTGCTCCACATGCATGTCACCACCTGATATTGTCAAAATGTTTCATTATTGCCAATTCTGGTGAATGTGAAATGTATCTCATTTAGTTTTAATAGCCTTTCATTGAATCTGAAAGGAGTGAACATCTCTTCTATATTGGCCATTTAGGTTTTCTCTCTTGAAAGGTCTGTTTAAGATCGTTCAGCAGTTTTCTATTTTGGCATTGGTCTTTTATTGATATTTTTTTTGAGATGGAGTCTCACTCTGTCGTCCAGGCGATCGTTCACTGCAGCCTCCACCTGCAGGGTTCATGCAGTTTTCCTGCCTCAGCCTCCCAGGTAGCTGGCATTACAGGTTCACACCACTATGCCTGGCTAATTTTTGTATTTTTTTAGTAGGACGGGGTTTCAACACACTAGCCAGGCCAGTCTCAAATTCCTTGCTTATCATGTTTTTGAGATTCATCCACGTTGCATGTTTTCGGTAATTCTTTTATTGCTGAGTAGATTTCCAATGTATGGATATTCCACAGTGGTTTTTTTTTTTTTTTTTTTTTTTTTTTTTTTTTTTTTTTTTTTTTTTTTTTTTTTTTTTTTTTTTATCATTTTCTTATTAATGCACGTTTGTTTTACCTTTGGCTTCTATGAATAAAGCTATTATGAACATTTTTGTGAAATATGCATTTTTTTTCTTGATTATACCTAGGAGTGGTGGACCTGCTGGGTTATAGATTAGGAATATGTTTTAACTTCATTAGAAACTGCCAAATATTCTTATTTTCCAACATAACCCTGTTGGTTTTACCACGTTAAATTTCAGTCAGCAATAAGAGTCTTCTAGTTACTCCACACATCTTGCCAGCACTTGATGTTTAATTTTTTTTTTTTAATTTTGGCTGTTCTTTTGGGTGTGTAGTTGTATCTTATTGTGGCTGTAATTTGTATTTCTCTAATGATAGTGATGGTTGAGTATCTTTTCATATGTACTTGGATCATTTGGATATTTTGCTTTGTGATATTATCCTTTCAAATCTTTTGCCCATATTTTTAATAGGATTGTTTGTCTTATCAAGTTGTAGGGACTTTTTAAATGTATTCTGTATACAAACCCTTTTCAGAAATACATAAAACCTCTGCCTCCTGGGTTGAAGCTATAGCTATTGATTGAGGTTTTATTGAATTTATAGATCACTTTGGGAAGAATTGATGACAATATTAAGACTTTAAATCCATAAACTTGGTATATCTCTGTTTAAGTTTTCTTTATTTTCTCTCAACAATGCTTTATTTTCAGTGAAGCACTCTTGCATCTCTTTATTTCTAGATGGCCAGTGTTCTGATGTTACTGTAAATGTTTTTCCATCTCATTTTCTAATTGTTTGGTGCTATATATGCAATCATGTCATCTGAAAATAAAGGCAGATTTTACTTCTTCCTTTCTGACTTTTCTACCTTTAAATATTGTATATAAAAGAATGGTAGAGACTGGAGTAAAGATTCTCTTCTCCCAGGGTGCTTAAGACCAATCCTCTGTGAGGGAACGAGAACGAGAAGCCGATTTTTCTGGCCAGGCATGTAATCCTAGTACCCTGGGAGGCCAGGGAGGGCAGATCACCTGAGGTCAGGAGTTCAAGACCAGCCTGGCCAACATAGTGAAACCCCGTATCTACTAAAAATACAGAAACCAGCCAGGCAAGGTGGTACACACCTGTAGTCCCAGCTGCTCAGGAGGCTGAGGCAGGAGAATTGCTTAAACCCGGAGGTGGAGGTTGCAGTGAGCCGAGATCAGGACACTACACTCCCACCGGGGTGGGCGAGCTAGACTGCCTCACAAACACACAAAAAAAAAAAAAAAAAAAAAAAAAAGGGAGAGAAGCTAATTTTTCTGATTCTATTAGGAATTGAGGTGGATAGGGTTGAGTTTTAGCTTTAGTTAGTTTCAAATCATCTCTGGTTACAAATGACTCAGGGCAAAATCTGTACTTTGTATGGTACAGGCCGCTTCCTCTAGCAGGACCCTGTTGTCTCAGCCCCAGAGATCCCTCTCTGCTTTCTAACCCAGCCATCAGCCTCCAGCACTGACACACAGTAAAGAAAGTTCTATTAGGAGTGAATCAGTGGACACAAGAACCAACTCTAGGTTTGAGACTCCTGCAGATTCTAGTCTGTTGTATCAGCCCACAAGGTTGTAAAAACAATGGTTTCTTCTTACTGGCCATTGGAGGCTTCATCTTTCCCTAGCCTTGTAGAGATTAAGCATATGCCCTCAGGGGGAAAAACTGTTTAAAGGCTGGGTTTTGTTGTTGTTTTTTTTTAATGGTGGAATTTATTTGTGTCCACAACTCTCTAGTGTCTTTAATAAAATGGTTTTCTTTCTAAGTTTGTCTGTTTTGTGTTCTTGCTGTTATGGCTAGAACAATGGTTTCTCATGCTGTACTACATCTTAGGCAGAAGCTACAAGTTCAGCATGAGGTTTTTGTTGTTTCTATTTGTTTATTCTTTCTTTTTTTTTTTTTTGAGAAGGGGTCTTTTTTGTTTTTTTTTTTGAAAAACCAGCTCCTGGTTTTATTGATTTTTTTTTGAAGGTTTTTTTTTTTTTTTTTGAGACAGGGTTTTGCTGGATTGCCCAGGCTGTGTAGTACAGTGGCGCAATCATGGCTCACCACAACCTCTGTCTCCTGGTCTCAAGCAGTCCTCCCACCTCCCAGCCTCCCAAGTAGCTGGGACTACAGGCACATGCCACCACGCCTGGTTAATTTTTGGTTTTTGTTTTTTGTTTTTGTAGAGACAAGGTTTTGCTATGTTGCCCAGGCTGGTCTTGAACTCCTGGGCTCAAGCAGTCCGCCAACCTCAGCCTCCCAAAGTGCTAGGATTATAGGTGTGAGTCACCACACTCGGCCTTTGTTTCTTCTTACTATGAAGTAATTATGTGGGCTACAAACTTTCATAAGACCCCTTCCCTCTTCCATTAGCGCTGTGGTTCACAACAGGCATTGTTTCCTTGCAGTCTCTTGATGGTGGGTGAGGATTACTTCTATCCTGCTCTTACACTCAGGCTATGAGCCCTTCAGTGTCTCTGCTTTATGCAATGAGGGTCTCTTATTGGAACCCCCACCATAGATAGACAAAGTTAGGGGCTGATTACTGTGTACATTTACAGAACCCTACATATAATTTTATTCTAGAAATATGCAAATAAGATTTGTATTTGTTTGTTTTCATGTCTGTCTCACTAGACTGAAGCTTCTTGATAGGTTTTTTTCATTTTTGTATATGCAGTCTAATATGGTACCTAGTATAATAAATGTTTGAAATACGTTTGTCGAATGCTTTCCAATTAGATTATATAACCTTGTGTAAAGGTTTATATTATGTTTTGTGTTACTGATTTATTTTGTTTTTATTTGTTTTCTTTGGGTTTTCAATTAAATGTTCTATCCATAGCATTTTCTACACCTGGGGCTTACCTGGGAGTAGGATTAGGACAGTTGTAAAATGAATGGTTTTTAGACAGGACTTGTGGGATGTAAGCATTGGGTAGTATTTAAAAATCTGGGAAATTAGCAATAAATGTCATGCAGATCTCATGGCAAATTGCTGGAAACTAGTGTTAGGAGTTTTTTACATGCAGACTGTAAAATCAGTATCTCAGCATCAACGAGAAAAAAAAAGATCTGGGGATTTAGGTAGGAGGAAGCAGAAAATTAAGGAAGACTGTGAAAGGCAGGTTTCTCCCTTGTCCTAGAATAATGGGAGTACTGAATAGGAAACCAAATAAGAATCCTGGATGTTGACCCTTTCTTGAAACTTGAAACATAAAGCAGAGGCTTAGTAATAAGGGAGACTTTACTAGAAACCAGCTTTCATGATGATACCATGTAAACTTAATGTGAGACATAACCTTGATTTTCTTAATGTTACTCAACTAGAGGTAGATTTATTCCCAGAGCTTGGGGACAATGCCAGGGTAGAAAATGTAAGTTCTATTGTGCATCAGAACAATTTAGTGTAAATAATGTGGGTAGTCGAAAGACAAATCTCAATAATGAAGGTAATATATACTGGAACGCTATATCAGTTGCCAAGATTGTACTTGTTAGTCTAAATTTTTTCTTATATTCATGTTTCTTTTTCATCCCTCTCCCCCATTTTTTTTTTTTTTTAATCTTCAGAAACTATATGAGCTGAATAACCTTCATGCACTTATGGCAGTGGTTTCTGGCTTACAGAGTGCCCCAATTTTCAGGTTGACTAAAACGTGGGCGGTGAGTAATGCTCTTTAATGAAAGGTTTGACTTCCTGTGGGAAGGAAAGCTGTATTCATTTCCTTTATAATTATCATTAAGGTTAATATATAATAATAGATAAGGATTTTTAAATGGCATTGTACTCTATTCTTTGATACCTACATTTTTTCTCCTTAAGCAGTACACTGGTATAAGGTAGTTTTTGGGTACAGTTTGGTGCTTGGTTTTTGCTGTTTAGAGAATCATTTTTATTGAAACACTTTCAGTGTTTTTGACAACGTAGTGTTTAATATTCAGCTGATGGGAAGTATGAATACAGAAAAATGCATTTAATTGTGAAGATTATGCTTTTGAAAAGTTTGAGGAGTATCTAAATTGTAAGTTTCAAAAAAAATTTACTGATTACAATTTTCATTATTTTAAAAAATGAGTAAACCTTAGATTTTTTTCCTTAGGAACAATGGAAAACCTGATGATTAACATGGAATTATTTGCTGTTGCTACACATGCTGATGTTATTTTAATCATATTTGGTTCTATTACTTGTATAAGATCAGAGTGTGAATTTTGACTTCTGCAAATGTGTGTATTTTCATATTTGAGTGGCATAATACTATACTCAATCTTTTCAGGTATTTTTCATTTAGATTTTATATAAGTAAAATTTTATATTCAATTAAGTTTATATTCAATACTATTTAATGTTAAAGATCAATAATTTTGTTTAGAATCTATTACATTTTGTACAAAGGATCAATGTGTTTTTAAGGTTCTATGGTAAAACATGACTGACTTTTTAAAACATTTTTTATTACTAAAATATAAATGTTTTTAATTAAAGTGCTGCTTTTGCTTTTTATGGTATTTGATGAGACAGATGTTTCTCATGAAAACCAGTGTAGATTTCTATATTGGAAAAACATTACTGTGGAAAAACTTATGATCCTTTTTAAATTTCTTTTTTTTTAATGGAAACACCTGGGTGTAAAGGGTTTTCTCTAAAAATTCCTTTTAATAATTATGGCCTTATTGTCTTTTCTTAAAATTTGAATTTCATGGGGGAATGGAAATGATTATAAATATACAGTTATGAATTCTGTCTTTAAAGTTTCAGGGAAAAGAATTAGAACAGTTATGAATTCTATCTTTAAAGTTTCAGGGAAAAGAATTGTACTCTAATCATGAAAAAAAATTATTTTTATTTTTTGAGCTCAGGCTGGAGTGTAGTAGCACAATCATAGCTTACTGCAGCCTCCAACTCCTGTGCTCAGAGGATCCTCCAGCCTCAGCCTCCCAAGTAGCTGGACCGCAGGCACATGCCACCATGCCCAACTAATTTTTTAAAAAGTTTTTGTAGTGATTGTTTTCCAGGCTGTTTTCAAACACCTGACCTCAAGCAACCCTCCCACCTTAGCCTCACAAAGTATTGGGATTACAGGCATGAACCATTACGCCCAGTCCTATGCCCTTATTTATGATTTGGTTTATTAATGAGATACATTTGCCTGAAGTTAATTTTTATTTTCCTTGAAGATATTTTCATTGTCTCCCTTTTGTATTTGCATGGAAAATAATTTTTATTTGGTAACAGGTCCATTATTTATCTGAATAAAACTTTTGATGGTTTGTATTACATCTTAAAATATTTCATACTGCGCTATGTACTCTGTAATCCATAGCGCTATGTACTCTATAATACATTGCTTGACATACAGTAGTGAATGGTCTAGACAAAGTTCCATTCTCATACAGCTAACATTCTGCTGGGGAAAAAGAAATTGCAAATAAATAAATGACATGTAAATAGTGATAAATGCTCTGAAGAAAAATAGAAAGGCAGGCAGGACAGTACTGTGTTATGTATCATGTAAGAGAATCTAATAAATGACAATTCAATAGAGACCTGAAGGAATCGAGGGAACCATTATTTGGATATCTGGGAGAAGAGAATTCCAAGTAGAGGTAATAGCAAGTAAAAAGACCCAGTTACGTTCAAATAGCAAAGTGGTCAGTGTTGACAGTAGAATAAGCTAGGAAGGTACCTGGTGGTAGGAGATGATTTCAAAGAGATGGCATGAATCAGATAATGAGGGTGCTGTTTACTCATATTCAGAGAGGTATAGAGAAGGACCACTGTGGGCTGGGGTTCTATTTTACATATACTGTGTTTGAGTTGGCTGGTAAACATCCATGTGAACTGTAACGTCAGAGTTAGATACACAAGTTTAAGAGAGTGGTTGGGGCTAGAGAGATTTTTATGATCATCACCGTAAAGTATTTGAAGCTAGATGGGATCACCTAAGGAGGGAGCATAGATGAAAAGCCCAGGAAACCTCCAGGATTCCCAAGTAGAGATTGGAAAAATGAGGAGAAATCAACAAAGGAAATTATGGGTAGGGCACAATTTTTCACAGTGAAGTAAAGGAAATGTTTCGAGAAAGATTTATCACTTTTGTCAAATGCTACTAATAATTTGAATAAGGTGCAAAGTTTTAGATGACCTGACAATTGGAAAGGATTGGTGACCTCAGGAAGAGCAATTTCAGTAGAGAGGTGGGGTGAAAAACTGACTGGAATTGAGAAAATGGTGATGAAGAAGTGGGACAGCAAGTATAGAGAATGCTTTTGAGGAATTTTACCTCAAGGAATTTTTATCGTTAAGGGCTACAGCGTAGTGTTGCAGAGAAGTATGGTACCTGGAAGGGAATGTGAGACCAAAGATTTCTGGTATTTTGTTTTGTTTTAGAAATGGCATCAATGGCAATATGTTTTATGCTGGTGACAATAATCTAGTAGAATGAAAAAAATGACAAGAGAATGAGGGATTACACCAATGATATGCTTGCTTAGATGAAAGGGAATTAGATCTAGTCTATTGTATCAGTAAGAGTTTATCCATTTTAACAGCTGGGAAAGGGAATGTGTTTAGTTACAGATATAGCTAAGTTGGTAGATTTGGTGGTGGGATTCTTAGAAGTTTTTCTGATTATTTTGTTTCCTCAGACATAAAAAAAGCAAGGTCTTTAGTTGAGAGTGATATGGGAGAGGTGTTGGAGGTTTGCAGAAAGAGGAGAGGATACGAAGGTCACCTGGAGAGTGTGAGAGTGCCTTAACTAAGAAAACGTACTAGGTTTGATAGACCTTACGAAGGATCCGTCTGCTTCAGACTTTTTTTTTTTTTGGTCATGAATGAAAAGTAAAACCAGTCAGCAGAGTTATGTATTTTCCAGTCAGGTTCAGATATCCAGCATAATTTTTCAATAGTGCCAAGAGTTACATTTAACCAGAGTTGGGATTTTTCAAGGCTTTTGTACCAGAGGGGTTAAGGGTAGCACAAGACGTAAAAGAGGAAAAATATAAGAGTTGTTTTATTGACAGATGTGGAAACTAAACCAAGTAAAAGGAGGGAGATAATGAACAGTGAAAAGGTATTCTGGTCACTAGATTGGAAGCTACAGTGGAATCAAATAATCACTGGATTCAGAGTGAGAAAGGGAGTGCAAGCTGAGGGTGATAAAAAATAAGATCATTGGAGCAGGAGAAGTCAAGAAACTGAGAAGCAAGAGTATTGGGAGTGTTATCCCCATGAAGGGGGCAATCACCAAGATTTATGATAAGAATAATTTTGGTTCATGAATTTTTTTTCTCCAACTACTAAAATCTTCAAGATAACAGGGGAAGAGTGACTTGTAGATCTGTAAATGACAGTTGTAATCTAGGGTTCTCTTGTTTAATATGGTGGCCATTAGCCGCATGTGGCTATTAAATTTAATTCATTAAAATTAAATAAAATTAAAAATTTAGTTCTTTGATCATACTAGCCACGTTGCAGGTGCTCAGTAGTCACATGTGACAGCTAGTGGCTATCATATTGGACTGCACAGGCATAGATTTTCACCATCACAAAATTCTACTGGACAACACTGATCCTAGTACTTTCAACTTCATAGAGGCTAGAGGATTTTAGGGAGCAGGGTGAGATAATGAGCTGGAAGAAATTGTGAAGAGCAAGGAGCAAAGATTACACCTGACCTACCTCCAGGCATATTACAAGGTTTATAAGAAAAGAAAGGGAATACTTGGAGAAAAGATTAAGGATAGGAGTTTTGCAGAGGATGGACCATGAGTTCAAGAGGATACAGTTGGAAAGGTTTGCGATGGTTTTGTTTTTAACCGATAAAGGGAAGGTACCAAAAGACTGCAACGTTCTATATATGGAAAATAATTAGGAGCATTTTCTTTAACATGAAGGAAAAGGATGCCCAATTTCACTGTTTTATTCAATATACAATTGATGTTGTATATGTTTTAATGTTTATAACAGAATTATTCACAGTAGTCAAAAGATAGAAACAACCCAAACATCTATCACTGGATGAATGAATACATAAAATGTAGTATATACATACAATGGAATATTCATCTGCCTTAAAAAGCAATGAAATTCTGAGACATGGTGCACCGTGGATAAACCTTCAGACAATATGCTAAGTGAAATAAGCCAGACACAAAAGAACAAATACTGTATAAGTCCCGTAATTCCACTTATATGAGGTACTTAGAGTAATTAAATTCATACAGACAGAATCAAGATTGGTGGTTGTCAGGGATGGGGAGAAATGGATTTGGGAGTTATCGTTTAATGGATATGGAGTTTCCATTTTGAGAAGATGAAAAAGTTTTGGATATGGATGTTGGCGATATCCTTAAAATGTACACTTAAAATGGTTAAAATGCTTAATTTTATGTTATGTATATGTTTTACCATAGTTTTTAAAAAATAGGTGTACTTATACAGTGCTTGAATATATGAACAATATACAAAACCAGTTATATTTGAAACAGTTAACAAGTATTATTTAAAAGGACATCATTTACAATATCAACAAAAGAAAATATCAAACAAGTGGAATAAAATTTGTAAGACTTATATGCAGAAATTTGTAAAACTTTACAGGAAGGCATTAAAAAGGAGCTAAATAGATGGAGCAATAGCCTATGTTCATGGATAGAACTAT